ATGATGGCAGCCTATGTACAAATATGCTTGCTACAATTGATGTATGGAATGTTATAAGAGCTGTAAGAGCCCCCAATAAAATGATCTTTAACAAAGAAGAGGAAGGAGGAGGAGCTATTAGTGTTTTAACTCTTCTGAAAATGGCTTGGCACGCGCTTCATCACCAGACCAGCCATTGTTACTGTATGGAGCAGGAGTAACATTCAAATGAGGAGGAGAGCGGAAGTTCTAAGGGTTGGTGTTTAATAATATTTGCTTCTCAGATAAAATAAGACATTGGGCAAAAACACATACAACTCTTAGAACAATTGAATATTTCGAAGCAGTTTTAGTTAAGCCCATTATTATTTGTTCCTCGCAGCCGTTCTGTCTGGGTTTGGACATTCTTCTCTTAGAAGTGAGAAAGCGAAGGTTTGGAGAATTAGCATCATTTTATCATTTTACCTTGTCGGCACTCGAGCCTCTGGCAGGTGTGGTTATTAGGCTCTAGGAAGTAGCCACCGCTGCATCGCTGGCAAACGCGCGTGTCCTGGCAGTGTGCGCAGTGGGCTGGGCAGGGCAGGCAGGCTCGCTCCGGCGAAGGGAAGTGGCCCTCCGGGCACTGCTCCCGACACCGGCCCCGGTACAGCACTCGTTCTTGGCCGAAATTATCTAAGGGGGCAAAGCAAAGAGGGATAAGAGATCAAATTAACCAAGAAACTAACATAGCAGGAGCCGTCGTCACTGCATTTATCAAATGGGATACGTATAATGTATCTCTTTCCTTTAGGTAAACTGGGATCAGAAACAGATGGAATAAAAAGCACATTGTCTATAGGCTTGTATGGGGGATTATTTCCCTGACAGGGAATCGTTTTCCAATATTTTATATATTTGAGCCACAGTGACTATTACCTGGGAGTTCACAGCAAAACTAGAAGCCAGGCTTTCGAAATAACTACAATTTGGACTGCATTGAACTTTTTTCCCTAAGAGTTCACTTTTTATATCTGTGAACGCTCTCAGGTGTCAGGGTAGCAGAGACCCCAGGATGAAAACAAAAAAACAAAAGTACATCTTTAGTGACAGACCTGTTTTTACGGAAGTACCAACATTGCATTTGTTTTTATTTATTTAACAACTTTCATTGGGAGTTAATACAGATAACATGTCATTACATAGTTCAATCACATCAAGCTGTATTGTCCAATTGCTACCACTATCAATCAGTTTTAAAACTCTCCCCTCCCCCCCCTTCTCCCACCCCGCCCCCCACCCTCACTGAATCCATTTAAAATCATTGCTCTCAAATTTATATTTGTGTCAACTGTGTAAGTCTGAGTTTTGGCACATCTACCAGTTTCATGATCAATGTAGGGAAAACTTAAAGTTGTCAGGATTTCATCTTGTTTGAATCCATAATCAGTGCACAAGGAAGCAGCAGTTTAGAGGTTAAAAGATGCACTGCCCTGGGGGGGAAAAAAAGGCTGCACAGGGCCTTTTTAGAGTCTTGAAAAGCCAAGATGCAACTTTTTTAAAGGTGTGCCTGACCTGAACCATGGTCATTTCAGTTGCCTCGTGTGCATAGAGCCTCGGAATGAGGCAGATGG